TGTGACAAAATCCAGAAGAAAATGGACAACATCAAACAAGCAATAAAACTAATCAGTACAGTGACCCGTAGCGCCGTCCAGAGCGGAGAAGTTCAAACAGTCTGTGTCTAGGGTGTGAGGGCTCTGCAGAAATCTTCTCTGCTCTCCTTTTGACCCAAGATGTGTACAGGTCCTGGCACTGATGATTCTTTCTGCAGTCCTGACTGTCCGTTGGAGTCTGTTCCTGTCCTCTTTGGTTGCTGAGCCAAACCAGACAGTGATGGATGTGCAGAGAACAGACTCGATGATTCCTCTGTAGAACTGTATTAACAGCTCCTGGGGCAGGTTGAACTTCCTGAGCTGGTGCATGAAGTACATCCTCTGCTGTGCCTTGGTGATGGTGTTGATGTTGGACATCCATGTCAGGTCCTGGGAGACGGTGGAGCCCAGGAACTTGAAGGACTCTACTACTGATCCAGTGCTGCTGAGTATAGCGAGGGGGTGGGCTCTTCCTAAAGTCCACTATCATCTGCACTGTTTTGAACGTGTTCAGCTCCAGGTTGTTTCAGCTACCCCCAGCTGTTCAACTTCTTGTCTGTACGCCTACTCATCACCGTCTTGGATGAGACCGATGACTACTGTATCATCTGTGAACTTCAGGATCTTTACAGAGGGGTTTCCTGAGGCGCGGTCGTTAGTGTAGAGGGAAAACAGTATCTGGATAGTCCAAGTATTGCAGGATGTAATGCAATGCCATGTTGACTGCATCATCCACTGACCTGTTTGCCTGGTAGGAAAACTGCAGGGGGTCCACAGGTGTTTCATCAGTTCATCAAAATTCAATTTATCACAATACAAAAATGCCACAAAATGTATCATTTTGTTTAAGGATATGTATGTATATACCGTGTGGCCTCCATACACCAGCAACTTAATATTTTTTCTAAATAAGACAGCCTAAGAGAATGTAAGTCAATATACGCATTATAGTTTTTAATGTCATTGTTATTTCTCTTTCTGCTTATCCAGGGAACAGGGCAGACCATCACTAAGTATGCCATTAAGACCCTGACAGTGTGTACTGCTGCCAGTCACGTGGCACGAGAGGAGCTGGTGAAGTCTGACAAAAGTGAGAAATGACTGACATGTTAGAATAACTTTTACAAGCTCCCTCATTAGTCCATGAATAACATCTGATGGTTGACCTAACCTACAGTAATATGCAAATCAAGAGTTTGTGTTTATGTGTATGTGCAGTATGTGTATATGTTTCTACATTCATATGGATGTGTGTGTTCAGCACATTTGTTGACTCACGTGTTAATGTATTTAACAGTGTTATTCTTTTCCTATCCTTATTCCTGTATTTTTCTACACAGAACTGTCGATTTTGCGTCATTTGCTGAGCTCCAGCTGTGATGAGATGGTGTTAGGAAATGCAGCGCTGTGCTTGGCCCACTGCCTCGAGTTGCCAGGAATTGCCAACAACCTGCTAGGCACTGATATTGTATTGCTGCTACTGCGCCACGCTGCAGGGGATGCTAAGAGGATGGCTGTGCAGCAGAATGCAGCGATTGCTCTGGGGAAGCTGTGCTGGTCTGAGCCCAGGTGCCTGCTCACTCTACTCTATAAACCACATGCTGTTGATTTACATTTGAGAAACTAGCCTGAAGGAGCATTAATAGACTAGATGAAATAATATTGGTAATGAGCTAATGTGATGCTGTGAAGCCTGACCTGAAATATTCAAATTTTTGTGTTTTATATTAATATGTGTACCTCAAAATCAGTATGATTGGCTAACTATTCTAATGCATGGTGATAGCTGTCACCTCCCCCTGGTTTCTTAATATTTGCAGTTGGTTTATTGCCTATAATTATGATAAATAAATGGACAGATAGTGAGCAACAGACTAAGCTGTGTCTTTACTGCACTGAAAGCATATTTAAACAGTCTAGAAAAGAGGAGAAAATGAAAAAGAGAACAAGAGCAGCAGGTCAGAGAGAATTTTTACTTTATTACATTGCTTTTGACTTGGATTTGGATTCTGTCCATAGTAATTGTTTATTATTGTTATTATTATTATTATTATTATAGTGCTGCCTGTTTTTGCATTACAACTAAGGATTTTTTTCAGTATGTATTAGTCTGACTGTTTTCTCAATCTTTTCGTCATCAAAATGTCACAAAATGGTGACAATTGCTCAGTGTAATTTCCCATAGCCAGGCTGATGTCTTCAAAATGCTTCTTTTGTCAAACCAACCATCAAAGACCCAAAGATGTTAGAAGAATGTTTGACCTTTTTGCTTAAAGAACGAGTGTCGATCAAAAGAGCTGCTGATTCATTTTTCATTGATCAGCTAATCACATAACTGATTCATTGTTTCAACTTTGTTTTATGAGAATGTACTCAATTATTTATTTGGAATTTTACACACCTGTAAAATATTTGCACAAGCTCCAATTAACATCTTATGCAAAGTACTGTACTATGTATTATAGGTACAGTACGTACTACACAAAAGCCACATGTGTTCCTTTTTTCCCTTTCAGTGTTTCCCTTGGGTTTTTATTTAGAAAGGGTTTTATTTTGTCGTGCAGCATCATGGATGCTTTTATTTCTAGACTACAAGTTGAGCCAAATAAAAGCTGATCACATGCATAACTGAACAATGATGTTTTGCTGCTGTGGGAAATCTTTCATGTACTGTGGTGCCTCTCTGATTATGTGAGTATGATTGTTCTGTTGTGGTACTGAGTAGCAGTCGTAGTATTATAATAATGGAAGACAGCAGCAACCAGTATGTCTCTTTGTTCCTAGGAAGATTTTTCCTCCAGGCTAACGAGCTCTGTATGTTGATCTGTAGCTCTCACACATTGTTGCTGTGTTTTCTGGTAAATGGATGGAAAGTTCCTAGAGCTTTATTGACATGATGCAAAATGTAAAGAATCAATGTGGGATACTTGATTAGGTCAGTCTTAATGTTGTCTGTAGTGTGGGGAATGCTTTAGGGTGAACCCCCTCCGCTTCCGGGCTTGCAAAGAGAGAGAAAGGGGGAGAGAGAGAGAGAGAGAGAGGGAGAAGGATAACCAGAATGATAGGGTGGGTGGGCTTATTGAATGAATGGGGAGGCAGAAAGTAGTATATTAGAGGCATGGTCCTGCTCCTGAATTTGAGATTGCTAATCTTCTCTTTTTTTTTTCATTTCCAGACATATGAATAAACTTCGAGAACTACATGGCCTTGAGATCCTGCACTCCTGTGTGAAGCTCATCACATGAACCCATGGCAATATAATCTTGTTGTTTGTCATGAGTCTTGTTCTATTCTGGATTCTCTTTTAGGTCCTGGTAGTAATGTCTACCGGCTGACTGTTTCCTAAGGGTCTCAGAGCCCTGCTGGGTTTCTATTCTTCAGACCCACTGAGTGATTTATGAACTAGTAGAATCAATTCTGTAGGTAATTGTAAGCCAGTGTAAGGATTTAAGATTTTTTTTTGTTTTGGTGGAAGAATGTTAAAGCTGCCTTGTGCTATATGTCTTTTATTAGATTAAAATATCATTCATATTTTCAATCCAAATATTTGTCCTGAACTGTCAAAAATACACAAATATACAGTATGACAGAATGCATTGCTTAAACAAAGAAGCTACAAACTGCAGCATTAACCAAATAAATCACAAGTTCTAATAAACAAATGTGTCTTAAATGGTCAGTTTATTTTGTGCTGGCCTTTTGATATTTCTCTTGTTTTTTTTGGCTATTTAGATGTATGGTTTGTCAGTTTTTTTCATTTCATTTCCTGAAAAGTTCATTTGAATTCTGTGTGTTAAACTCCTCTATTTCATCTGTGTTTGGATTCTGGGAAAGGAGAAATCATCTCAAAGGAAACACATTTGCATTTTAAAGACTGTTTACAGTTAGACTGGGTTTGGAGTCCACAAGATCTGCACGCTTTTGAAATATGAGGATCACTTGTAAACTTGCAGAGACATGTGGGCCCAGGAATTTAGTGTGTGACTTTTCTAGACAACAGCTCTAGATTGTTTGAGATAATAATATAATAGATTAGTGCATCACAGTGCTGCTCTCACTGCCTGAATGTTAAACCCAGCTGCTGTAAGAGAAGGTCAGAGCTACCTCAGAGCTAACTCTGCTAGCATGATGCTTGCACACCCACTGTGAGGGCTTGCAAGGTTGTACTGAGAGAGACAAGTGGGACAGGAATGATGTTTGCTTTTTACCTGACATATAATAAAGAAAAATGCTATAAGGGCCACAGTATTATAGTACATTAGTATTTACTTGTCAAATAATTAGGCAATTTAAAAAAATAACCTAAAGTCCAAAGGGTGCATTGAGGGCAGTGGTTACCTCTTGACCACACCGAATTTTTGTGGACTTTTATCATGGAGGGGTTTATTTTCTAAGGTTAAAAGCCTGTACATTTCAGTATTCTGTAATTCAAATTCAATTTAGAACTTCATACTGCGCAGTAAAATACCTTATGTCCTAGGACATTTGTACTATTTATAGAGAAATGTTCTCAGTTACTCAAGCTGCTGTATTTTGAGTTTATAGCAGGTATTTCTGTGAAACAGCGGCCTCATTATATAAATCTAGCTGAATGTACAAGTAAACTGCTACAGTAACTATGAAAAATCCAAAAAATATACTTATTTCTTTCCAGTAGGGTTGGAGGACCCTCTATTTCAAATATCCTGGTCATAGCCCTGCTATCGATGTAAACTGAGTAGTAAATAACCAAGGGATTAGAGCAGTAACTTAGCGTCTGTTGCTGTGGATTGATCTTGCTTGAAATACAACATGAGCATGATTTCACCTCCCACTCTATCTTTTATCATTTATTCTGTATACAGTATCTTATACAATACAGAGGCAGTCATTGCCATCCTCCTAGTTTCTTATCTAATGTGATAACTGACATAATGGGATCTGGAATTAAGCTACACAACTGCATTTAATTAGAAAACCGCCTAATAGTATTGCTACAATTAGTAGTAATTCATGAAATAACCTAACACAAACATTTCACATTTTCGGCATCACACCAAATGTGTGTGGACATCATCAACTTTTGTTTTATAACTACCACAATAGGATTCAAATGATTAAATGTTCCATGTGAGGTTAGAATATCTGCATGAACATTAAAACAATGTTTATGTCAAGCTGCATTGCTATATTGGCTTCTTCTACATTTTTATTAGTGCATTACAAAACTAAATTACAGTGCAGTACCTCCTGTGGTGGTGCTGCCTACTGTAGTTGCAGGACTATGGGGTCAATAGAGCATGTCAGCAGGGGGGAACTATATGAATCCACCTTAAATCTAAACACTGTCCATTATGAGGCCATTACAGCGCTCTGCAGGCAGCAGGAACATGTGTCATATCAGCCCCATTCTCATTATCCTTGGACACATCTGTAAGAATATGAGATGTCAATAATATGGGGACCTACACCAAAACACTTGTCTACCTCTAGTAGTGAAAAAAATCTCCAGACTACCTTAATCATGATATGACTTGCTAATGTGCTAACAGTCAGAAGAATGCTACAAGTTTTTACACATGCCCAGTAACCAATACTGATAGCATTATTTCTCATTTCATTGTACAGTAATTCCTCCATGTATGTAGACTGTGCTGTTTGTTTCACTTGTGATGTTTGATGTAGATTCGGACACCAACATCTAAAAATACGGTTTATTACCCACCCTAATGTTTCACCTAACACTCTTCCCACAGTCACTGAGGGATCATCTCTGACCCCACTCATGCCTTCTCTTCCAGCTGTTACAATGGCACCTCAGGTACAGTAAATGCTGCACCCCTTATCAATCTTTATGTATCTAACTGGTGTGTGAACTGTGTATATTGTGTGTATTGGTGATTTTTGATTTGGGCCATGCAATTCTTGTCTATGCAGTCCTGTTGAAGGAACTGTGATGTTACACACTGAACACATGGCACCAAATCCCATTAAACTGAATAAGCAGAAATTAAATGTGGGCAAGACCGCTCACTGTTAGAAATTCAAATCCAGTAGTGTTTTTTTTTTCTTTTTTTGCTTTAATCTCATTTGGCTCCTCTATGTATTGAATACCAATGGATCTCCTGTTACAGTACACTGTTTATATGACATGCTTTTTATTTCAGCCGTCCCGTTACATACATCATCACAAATATTGCCTGATATCACAATATATATCATATGATATTATATGGTATGATATTGTGCTACCCTAGTAGGATCTGGCAACCTAGAAAATAGCACTAGCATCCCATTTTAAGAAGCGGGACTGATTTGATTAACTAGCTTATATGCTACTGCTGGGTAGCTTGTGAATTTCCCACCAGGGATCAATAAAGTTTTCTGATTATACAGTATTTGTGTATTGATCTGGTTCTGAAAAGAAACTACAAATCTAAGTTAAAAAAAAATAATCTAGTGGAGTAAAAAGTGCAATATTTGCCTTTGGGAAAGGAATCTGAGTGATGAGTTGTGTTGTTGTTTTTGTTTTCTGTGTAGAAAAAGAAAGAAAAAGATTTCCAAGGTTCTCACACAGAACAAACAAAAAGCACAACTGTCACAAAAGATCTGCTTTGGATAATGGAAAACAACTGTAAATACACATGGATATACTGCAGAGGGAATGACTGCCAAGATGGGTGGTTGTTTGACATTTGGCCAACGCCACCTTATGAGAGAATACAAATCACAGAAACACTGACTATAACTGCCTCACGGAGCTGAGAGCATTTTGTTTCCAGAGATAGGGAAAACAAGAAACCTCCCATCAGCTATGAGGATCCCATGGAATTAAAAATTGCATTGATTTCTAATAATGACAGGATGGTTTTCTCTTATACACAGACTGCATTTCAACCAGTGACTAGCCAGATGTCCATTTGTCCACACAGATGCACTGAAAGCATCTCTTCAGCCGTCACTTTGTCATAACAAGAATCAAAGAAACACTCTCATATCTGCTGATGGTATGCACTCCATTTCCCAAAATGAACAGAAAATTCACTCAACCCCCCCCCCCCCTCCCTTAACCCCTTCTCAGAGACAGGAGCAGCTGTATTTGACATAAAGTGTCTTGCTAAGATGCCAATAGTAAAACAAACTGACACCAATAAACAACTTAGGCGCACCAATCCTGGTGAAAGGTTTGTTACACGTGCAGCTGTCTTGACAACTATAGCAATTTATTGCTCTTCAAAATTGCTTTATAAGGTAAAGAAACTTGTAAAACACAGAGAACAAGAAATATATGGGGGAAAACCAGAGGACTGCGGACCTGCAGTCAGATATGATGTATTTTCATAAGAATAATAAACACACTCAGTCTCTCAACAAACTAATCCCAAACTAAACCTTGGACTTCAGCAGTGGATCAGTGAGCAATGTGCCTCTCATCACTGAGGCTCTAAGTGTTCCTCCACAAGGTCATGATCACAGCGCTGCATCACACCCAATTGTGTGAATAAGGTTGATTGAAGCTCATGCACCCTTCAGGCTTAGTAGTCCCATCACTTCTGCAGTCAAACATCCTGAGTCTGTCTCCGTGACAGAAAGATATGATTCTTTAATCTCAGTATTGAGAAGCCAAACACGAGCTACACAAGACCATACAGACTTTGCTACCCAAGGATTCTGCCATCAAGACTGCATCTGTAACCACAAAGACAAACCTGACATATAAGCAAGATTCTCAAACATTTAAAACGGTAAACAGTCTGTTGTTAATCCCTCAGGCCGAGGGAAGAAGGCAGTTATGAAAGCATCACAAACTCTGACCTTTACAACAAGAAAAGTGTTTTTGAAGTTGTTCCTAGTTTGAGGATGACGTGTCCATGTTGACACTAACAACACTATGGAACAAGTCAAACTCTGACAATGAGAAGATTTTTTTAGGGACTCAAGCAGAAATCACTCAGGAGAGGACTTTTGATATTAGCAATGATAACCACCTAACAACACACCAAACCATTTCAAAATATAAGCAGGATTTAATCCGTCATTATAGTTCACAATCTGAAGCTGGGAGATAAGAACGAGAAAGTGTTGACTGTAGCTGCAGAAGACAAGGAAAAGAAATCAATACTGAGGGCAAGCAAGGTGAAGAAAGTCCAGAGACAAAAGAAATACTGAAGTTGCACAATGAAGAGGAGAGCAGGAAAGATTAAAAGTAGAACAAAAAGGATTATTCAAATCAGGAAAAATAAAATAGGAAACAAGACAAAAGCAGCAGTGGACTAAAGATAAATCAAAAAACAGACAGGGAAGAGGAGGGTGGGGGCACCATAGAAGTGGAGGGTGTAATTTTGAGAAAAGACAAAAATCAACATAAAAAGTAGCAAGAGGCAAAGAAGAGGCTGAAAGAAAAGGCATGACTAAAACATATACAGAGAAAAGCAGAGACTAGAAGAGAGGAAACAGAAAGCAAGAAAGACATCCAGGGACACTGGGAGAGTGGACAAATGTTCTCCTTGGGGCTATGGCTAATTCTGAAGAACAGAGACAAAGGGCACACTGTTACAAACCTGTCTTCTTGCCACAGTTTTAATAAAACATTTGGGAACCCATGGGCATTCTTCTGGATGAAAACACTACTACACAAATTATGGAAATGGAAAATAAAGATTTTTCCTACGTGACAAG